CTGTTATAATTTTTTTAGTATATTACTTGTGTGGTGTAGAAGAGAATTATCTATGTAGAGATACTGCTTGCAAACCAATGATGGTAAGATGATGTCATGGGGTAGGACTGGATAAGTCTGACTTCTTCCTACTCCATTCAAGCATGTACTAGGTATAAGCAAATTGATAGTGGATTAGCATTTGTTGGATATGTGTAAAATGATGTGTGTTGACATATCAACTGTCTTTACATGCTTGAAAGAATAAATCAAATCAAATCAAAATCAAATCATCATTGTGCAGTGGAAGTAGGAAAGTGATGGTGCCAGACACTGTTATTAACTTTGCTGTCAAACACTGTTATTTCCTATGGCAAAGGGATGTCTGGCTGAAAAGCATCTGACAAGGATTAATGGAAGTGTGGATCATTATTTGACAGACTTGAATCTGACTTGAGCAAATGCAAAGGATTCAAGAAGGTTAGTTGGAGCACTGAGATTTAAATGAAGACAGAGGGGTAAGAACAGGGAGCACCTGAAACACAAACAAGGTTAGGAGAGGTGTTTGGATAGGCTGCTTTAAGAAACACCAGAGGCAAGCAGATAAGGAGAGGAGGGCCAGCTGCAGCACTGAGACGCAGCCGCAGAGAGGAGACAGGAATAGGGATGGTTTCAGTGAGGAGATAACGCCGGGGCACAGGGCTGATAGATGAGGGCAGCTCCAAGGTCAGCCTGGGAACGGCAGATGAGCACATACCACCATGACTCAGTGCTGTGCCATTGTGTGCTTTCATATATCCATGCCTGTGAGTGTGAAGGATGAGTGGTCTATGCAAACTAACAACCTCTGTATGTTTTCAGGAATTTCTCCAGCAAAAATTTTGGTGTAACAAGGCAGGAGCCCACAGACCTCGACTCAGGCAAAGGAACAGTTCATGCTTCTTATTAGCAGTAGGTCAAAGGACTAAATCAACAAGGGACAACTGAACAACAGGAACTTTGGGAGCCACAGTTTGTGATTCCACAGATGCGTTTCAAAACTAATAGCTGGTTTCAATGAGACCACAGCCTGACCGTGAAAGGCTCCAAAAATATCATGCTGGATAATCCAAATGTTCTGAGCCCAAACAAGTGCATTATGGATAGAAGTCCAATATTTATCCAATTAGAGTGTGTCCTCCTTTCCTCACTCACAGGGCCCCGCTCAGCCTTCAGAGATTCACTGAGAGAGATGGCTGTCTTTATGTGCTCTTAAAAGGCTTCAGCTTTTACAATATCTAACAGATAACAAGAGACACAAACATCGGTTGAACTAAAAATATACCCCTTTAGCATCACAATATCTGGAACAGTTTGGAATAGTTTCAGGGCCTTTCAGGTTGTTCTGAGATGTTTAAGATCCAGTTCTAGGCTAACCTGCTAAATGTAATGTGTTCTCACTTACATGCGACATGAATGATCAGCTATGGATGAAACATTCTCCAATTCAGATTTAACTGATTGCGATAACCGTTTATTTACAACTTGTCTAGTAACAGTACAGAAAACAATTTCCTTCTTGCACTGTAGCTAAGAGATGACTACATGACAGAAGAATGTGAAAAATAGTTTTAACCAAGTATATACCATGAGTATCACAGGTGGTAAACAATTAACTAATCGGTGCATGTTAACATGGAAACACACATATTCTGAGAAAGGGTGAGTCTCACTGAAAGCTGAGGCATGAAAACCATCCCAAGTATGCAGGCAGTATAGAAGGCAAGCTCTCCAAGAGTGTCCCAAAGCATGCTCAGGGAGGGGAGGAGTTTAATGAAGAGAAAAAGAAGGGGCACATGAAGATATGGCTGGAGGAAGGAAGGAATAGGAACGGAAGAGCAGGATGGAAACATGAAGCAAAGCTGGAATAATACAAAGGGAGGGGGGAAGAGATCAGGGTGATGAAAAAAAGATAGAGGAAAGAAGGGGAGGGATTAGGTTGAGAAGAGGACGTAGAAAAGACAAAGTCAAGGGGGTGAAGGATGAGGAGGAAAGTTAAAAGATGAGGAGGAGATAGGAGAGAGATCTAGAGAGAGAAGCAAAGGAATTAAAGGATAAGAAGAAAGGATGACAGGGCACTAAGTACTGTAGATAGAGGCAGAGTAGAAGGAAAACTGTTTCTGCACATCGGTTGGAGAGAGGGGGCATACTGTGCAGTCGTGCCTGGGTGGTCTGCCAGTGAGCAGTGTGTAAAGCTGGCAGTATACTTCTCACAGAGGGCTCCACAAACACCAGCACACCCACAATGCTCTGCCCACTGAGCCGGCATGTGCCTCTCAGAGGGTTTTCACATTAGGCACAATTGTTTCATACCATGGACGAGCATGACAGCTCCCCCCCTTTTCCACTGCAGGTCTGCTGTCACATTAGTAACACTGTTCCACGTCCCATGCACAGTCCTATACAGAAGGTGGCAGTTTACAATCCACCAAGAAGAAGAAGAAGCAGCAGCAACTCATGTCATCAACTGGACGACATTTGTGTCTGTTCTGTGCCAAGTTTATATTTTTGAGATGCCAGCGACAACACTCTCACCTGCCTTCCTACTTCCACATCTATCGTACAGCTTAGAGGATGAAACAGGCCCATGCCGCATGGACACGACGGCTTCTGAAGAGGAGGCGGCACTGATGTTTATTAATGTTTAAAACGACAGAGTCAAACAGCTATGACGTCACATAGCAGCCCACTTCCTTGTTTCAGTACAGTTGCATTCACATCTGCAGCGGATCATACCCGAGTACACAAGAGTCGTGCTCAAGACCACCTCTTCAGAGTACGCTTGTGTTCATACGAATCTTAATGAACCAGACTTTGGGGGTCAAGTGTACTCGGCTCCAGGCTCCTAATGTGAAACCACCTTCCAAAGGACTTTGTCACATACTGTGCATGGCTTGCTGCCACACAGACTCACACCAGCTCTTCAGACCAGCATGGTTACTAACAGGACAGTCACAAGACTAACTCATGGGAAAAAAAAACACCAAAGTCGCTGATGTCAAACCATGTCAAAGCTGCAACATCACCCTCCAACATCACCACTGTCTGGCCACCTGGCTCAAGGCACAGCCCGGAGTTGTTCACCAATTTATCGCTGATATTTACGGGGGGGTTAGTCAGGGTGTGTGGGGCTATGCTTTTAAGGTCTGTGTGGGTGAGAAAACATTCTAGATGAAACACTGGGAGGGAATCCTGCAGCATCTGTGCGCTATTACATTATCTTGTGAAAGAAAAAAAGATCAGCAAGTGAAGCAGCGGGCTGTGAAAAGCACTGCCGGAGTCTTTGAAAAATACAAGCAAAAATGCGGAGATGGAGGGATCAAAGGAGGTAAAGATGTAATTGGACTGCAGTTAATACTGCTGACAACCCAGTTTGGGGTTGTTTGCCTAGTTTGTCATTGCCAGCTTAGAGGCAAAGAGGGTGATGAATGCACTCTCCTCAGACAGGAGGGCATCTTCATCATGCATAAACGCTCAAACTCACTGGATCAGGGTTAATGCCCCAAATAAAGCAGTAGCAAATACACTAACTCTTTCATACGCATACACCCTCATCTTTAATACACTGCTGTTAAAGGTTAAATGTTCTAAAGATGCATGAGATCCACTTGTATTTAGCAGTTACATATCCACACAATATTTAAATGTGAAAAAAAGTAAAGTGCATACCCTCTATTTTTAAATTTGCTCAGCTATTTATCACCATCCTTCATACAACCAGGAGCAAATGGAAGGTCTTGGCTCTTGACTATTTGTCTCCAGGTTATTTAATGTTCCCAGGATTAAAATATTTAAAAAAAATTCTGCAGGATGAGACATATTTCAGTGGCACAGGGAAAATTAATTATAAGAAGGGAGGGGGTGAATGAAGACGGTGTCTCCATTAGTTATAGCAGGGGCTGACAAAGGCCCCGCTGTTTCAGAGAAAAGAACCAGTGAATCAGCCAGAGTTGCTCTTGGTCTTTGATGAAGGGCAGGACAATGTGATGGGCTTAGCCGGAAAAGGACGGGGCGGGCCGTAGAAAGGGGGCCTGCAGGGGGGACGCTATAAAGAGGGGCACCAGATAAAAAGGTAAGAGAAATAACAGAGGTCAAGATGCATAGAATTTGCAAAGAGAAAAATATAAATCTGAAGGGAAGAGATGGAGGATTCAAGAGTATTATATTAACTGATGGGTGATTTACTGCCTTGTGCTTCACTGGGGAAACCAGGCAGAAGTGTGTATGTACAGTATGTATGAGAATGGAATGAGCTGTCTAGACAGAATACATACACAGAAATCTAAACGATGATATTCATGCCTGAAGTGTCATGAACATTTCACTGGTACACTCAATATCAACATGCCAGTTACATATATTAACAACACATCCTTGTTACCTTAACAGAGAACATAACCCTGTTGCTATTAGCTTTCCTTCAAAACATATTTGCTGTTGCAAGGTACTAGAGACAGGGCTGGCTACTGTGAACTGAACTCAAATAAGATTGAAAATGGATGGATGGAACAGTTTATAAAAAGACAATTTCAATCATGTACAATGAGGTGAGATTAAACACCACCGAGTCCATTGTCTTCTTGAATAGTTGGGTTGCAAACATGTGACTATTGCAACGTGTAAAATTCAGATGGAGGGAAGGAAGTGAAAAACAAAATCAAGAGATACAGTCAAGTCTGTATTGTGATAGTTTAAACCATATTAGGAGAAAAGATATAAAGAGAAAATCACAACATACTGTATGTGGGACGTGATCCTTATGTGGTCACTGCACAGCGGAGCATTTCCCCACTCCGCTCCTCCCGGCCTCAGACAAAGGCTTTGCAAGCCATTTCTGTCAGTGTTGTGTCAAAGTGTGTTCTCTTGTCGAGCTGTGTTTCCCCTTTGTAACTCAAGATGAATATAACTTTACCCTGGCCCTGACCCCTGGTCCAGGCGGATGAAAACACTCTGACACAATACCAGTGTTTTATGGTAAATTTCTTGCATTTCCCCCTATAAACAACTTCAGCTCCGTTGGCTTTGTTAGTGTGACCGATTTGATCGACCATAAATGACACAAACTTTAGGCATTTTGACAGCTGGTGATAGTACTGCCTATGTAGAAAATCACTTCCTGTCCTCCGTCTGCAGTTCACACTACAGCAACACAGTGATGTGACATCATATGTAACCCACCTACAGGGACACGCTAACCTTTGACTGATTCTTTAAGTGTTTTGTGCATTGTGCTACTGTCATGGCTGCCTTTCAGTTCAATCTGCTCTCAGATTTCCTCACGCTGCCGTTTAGATGTGCTGACACGCAAAGTTGTCTCTTGCAGCATCGAGTTGAATAAATCATTTTCAGCTTACAACTGAGTTACCTGATGTTTTCGTGCCTTGAGCTAGAAGCGATTTCCATAATGCATCTTGTAATAGGCAGCCGAGTTTTCACACAAGTTTTCAGGGTTTGACAGTTTCCACTTTGACTCGCACTCTCCTGGGCACACACGTGCCATTTCCCACCAGTCAGGTGTTCAACAACCCATTTACTATTTTAACAATAAAGCTGGTTATGCATTAGTCACTTTTTAAATACACTCAGTTTATGTGCGATTTAGAGGCTGCCAAGCTCTTCACTGAGAGCCAGCCTGTGCAGGAAAAAGTAGAGGTATATATAAAAGTGGCACTGAGCAAGTGCTAGCCTAAATAACACATTAACATCTGCATAAATTCTCATCATACTCGACTGATCCACTAATTAATCACCTTCAGTGCAGAAAATCAGAAGCTGAGAAGTAGCAGGAGTAAAACGATGCAGGCTAATGAAGCATGCACGGGTCATTATTAGCTCACTTTTTGACCTTTCAACTGTGAACGGCAGATGACCTTAAGTTAGAAAAAGGCCTCTGAACCATTTGAGTTCAAGGCAGAAGAGAGAAAGGGTTTAAAGAACTCAAAGAGATGTTTTAAAACCCTCTGAGGATAAAAAAAAGGTTTAGCAGGAATATTTACACACTTCCGAACAGCAGTGAGCAGCACAAACACAATACACTCTTCATATTATTTAAGGTGGCAGACAAGCAGGCCCCTTCATGTGCTGATGTGTGAGAGACTTCTCAGTAGGCCCCTACTGATCTATTGATCCATGTCCATCCATGAAAAATGTGGTAATAACCTTTACAATGTAGACTAGCAGATGTTTCTGCTTTCTAGTTTCCACTGTGAGGAGAACTGCAGAACTGTCACTGCCATTTAAATCTCTGAATGACGCACCAACATCTCACAGATCAAATGAAGGCAACAATAAATACCTCACTTAGGCCATTAAAGGGGAAAACCCACTACAGCCCCAGAAACCCCACACCAGACTACCTTTTTTAAATTTTGGTTGTACTTTTGTTTTCTTCCATTTCATTTCATCTGTCCATTCCATTTTATTTTTACTTGCTTGCAAGTAAAAGTAGCAGCTCAACTAAGTTCATATTTACCAGCTATGTTGCTTTAGTATCATTCAGTGGATTAGAACAGTGACGTGCGGTGAGGTTGACAGCTGGTGAGGCACTGACTCTTTTAGTCAGATTTACAAATACAAATGAACCGTTAACAAATTGTCTGTTAACAGACAATGCGTTATGTTTTATATCTCATATCAGCATTCTTCACACAAACGTGATCCATATTTAATTTGAGGTTAAAATTTATTCCAGTTGAGCTTATTTCTAACTAGAAATAATAAAAGTTTATGGTCTTACCTTTACTTGTACACGAAATCCATTTGTCAGCTGGTATGTATTACAAACCCTTTTACCGTTCGAATCCAATATTAAAACAAATGTT